CCTAGACCCACTGCAGCTTAGCCGTTTAATCACAACTTGCCTTGCTGGCTTCACTCCCGGTGTTCTGACCGCCGCTCCATCCTGCCATACTCCCCCCATCCCCCAAATCCCCCCTCACCCGGCAGCCACTCCTTCCAAATCCCATTCTGGAGCCTCGTAGTGCGTCCACCTGGATGCCTCTCCGCCCTCCTTGGCGTGGAGGATGCCCCAATGTCCCTCAAGATGGAGGTGAACGTCCCCTCCCTGTAAGCTTTCAGATCATCCCCCTTGCATCAAAGACCCCTCCATTCCCTGGGCTCACATTCCTTTGGACATGCTTCTTTGATGCCACTGATCACACTGTGCTGTGGGATTCCTACTTGCTTACATGCTATTTTGTCCTTCAAGGTCAGTCTTGCTCACTCTGTAGCTCCCCGGTCCAATACAGCTGGCGAACACAGGGCAGGTACTTGATAAACGTTTGGGAAATCGGGTGGTTCCCACCAACCAAGTGAATAAGCCCCGGCCACATAGGCTCTCGCAAACGTGTCCTCCAAAACCTGACCAACTAGTCTTAGTATCTGACGAAGCAAGCATCCTTCATGAACGATGACTTCGTGTCTGAACACAAGAGCAACTTACCCGTGAAACAGCCTGCCTGGGGAAGCAGCAACAGCATCAGAGGCCCCGGGGTGAGCCAGTCCGACAGGCCTGGTCACCGCCGTGTCACGCAGGGGACATCTCGCGCTCTCCTTCCTCACGCTCAGATGGAATATTATTCCTTCTGCTCGATCCTTTCACATGTCTAAGTACCTGTCGAGCCCTCTTCAGTGGTGGCTGCTCAAGCTGAAGTATTCTTAAACTACTACATCACACAAACACAAAAGCTATCCTAACAGTCAATTTTAATACTTGGGTTTTTTCCTGAAGTGTTCTTTTTTTTTTTTTTTTTTTTATTGTGAAGTTGTGAGGTACAGTTAAGGGTTAGGTATACAATTGCGTTTCATTCAGGCACCCTGTTGATATGGGGTGTTTCCCCGTTCCCAGACAGATATTTGCTACCGTTAATCCCATCTCCCTCCCCCCACCATAGTTTCCCAGTACGGTCAGTCATTTTCGTATAGTATTGCATTGGATGTTTAAGGTCCATTATTCCTGAAGTGTTCTTTAACCTCAAAGATGTGTACAGAAGAAAATACATTTCCAATGGATTGAGTTTTTCAGTTGTTTTAAGAAATGTGTTATATATTATCCGGAAACCAGAGGAAAAAAAGTGATTGTTTCATTTTATACTCCACCCAGTAACCAAAGGAAATAAAACACAATTTCTTTGTGGCAAAGCTGGTTTATTGAACGCCATGGGGGATTATAAGAGTGACACTACTCCACAATAAAATGACTCAATTTCCATACAGATTTCATGAGAAAACATATATTAGCAATACACTTTCCATTAATTATTGTTATTAATAGCTAACTACATTAGATTCCGGAATAGTTTCCTTTGGTATTCTCAAATTAAGACTTTTCCAAAACATAGCTGATACTTTCAATTAAAGGTCATAGTGAAAATAAATTCACACAGATTTTTTTAAACGTGTGATTTGTGCTTTAAAAAATTAATAATTTGTTGTTAGATATCTACTTTTTTGGAAGTGATTTTTCAATAGTCAATAAAGTGTTTTGTAAATAGTTTAGAATATATCTAAAAACTTTGTCCCCATTCAACTGATAAGTGTGTTTCTTTTAAAAAATAAAGACATACATATAAAAATTAAAATAATAAATTGTTACAAATGAGATACAAATATTTCAAAATTAATAAATATTAAAGTTAAAAAATAAGTCCTTTCACAGAACGGTAAAGAATACTACTAACTTCTTACAAAAGGAAAGAAAAATTACTTTTTGTAAAGCCATAGTAATGGTACTTAATGTGCTCGGGAAGTCTATACTTTCTTCCCCTACTTTAGAAAATGTTTCAAAAGCAATAAACAAGCCAGGTGCAGTGGCTCACACCTGTCATCCCAGCACTTTGGAAGGCAGAGGTGAGAAGACTGCCTGAGCCCAGGGGTTCGAGACCAGCCTGGACAACTTGGTGAGACCTTGTCTCTACAATAAAATAAAATAAAAATAAAAATAAAAAATTATCCAGGTATGGTGGCACGCGCCTGTGGTTCCAGCTACTTGGAAAAGGTTGAAGGATCATCTGAGTCCAGCAGACTGAGGCTGTGCTGGCTGTGAGCTTGTCACTGCAACTCCAGCCTGGGTAACAGAGTGACACTTTGACTCAATAATATAAAATAAAATGAAATAAAAAAGCAATAAACAGATTCCCTTCTTAAAACAAAAACTGTTACACTGATTATAATTACTATAACTGTAATGGTTTTACTATAAAAAATTACAAATCAATGTTTGGGTAAAAGTAAAAAAAATTTTTATTCCAGAATGATTAAGAAAAATGGGTTAATCTCCCTAAATGCAAATAAAGTCAATTTGAATTCTAAGACTTAAAACTGAATAATCGGCCTGGCTTGGTGGCTCAGCCTGTAATCCCAGCACTTTAGGAGGCTGAGGCGAGTAGATCACCTGAGCCCGCGGGTTCCTGACCCGCCCGGGCAACTTGGCAAGACCTCGTCTCCACAATAAATCAAAAACTAGCCGGCGTCGTAGCACGTGCCTGTAGTTCCGGCTACTTGGAAGGCTGAGGCAGAAGGATCACTGGAGCTCAGCAGGTTGAGGCTGCGGTGGCCGGAAGCGTGCCACTGCCCTCCAGCCTGGGCGACAGAGTGAGACTCCAACTCAAAAAAGAAACAACAACTGAATAATCACTTCCTGTAATTATTACATTCAGTTAGTTCATTTAATAAAATTATCTTGTCTTTACAGTTAAACTGTCCAGTTAGGACCACCATAATGATTAAACAAAAATCCTAAACTAGATTACATTTTTATCTGGCTTCCCACATTCTGAAAATACTGTAAATACGATCATCTTTTGGCTTAATTTCCTCTAAAGTGATCAAGGACTGCAATCTGTCAGAATTTGTGTATGTGTACATTTCAGCTAAAGTTCATGGCTTACATTCCATTTATGCAACTAGCCTCATATGCAAGCTTGCTATTTTCTATGTGCAAAGTCTTAAATTGAAAATAGAAGTATTTAGGGGAAAGAACTACCGAAATATTCCTTTCATCACTGAGGAACAGACAAGAGCTAAGGTCGGGCACAGTGGCTCACACCTATGATCCCAGCACTTTGGGAGGCCAAGGCGGGAGGACTGCTTGAGCCCAGGAGCTGGAGACCAGCCTAGGCAACAAAGTGAGACCTCATTTCTACAAAAAAATAAAAAATAAAAAAAAGTAGCCAAGCATAGTGGCACACGTCTCTACTCCCAGCTACTGGGGAGGCTGAAGTGGAGGGACTGCATGAGCCCAGGAGGTTGAGACTTCAATGCGCTGTGATTGTGCCATTGCACTCCAACATGGGCAACAGAGTGAGACCCTGACTCAAAAAAAAAAGATATTTTTCAATATCTAATTTATTTTTAATACTTAGGAGGAACAGCATGTTGCAACCATAAACTTAAACATTTAAAAAATGGATATATAGCCGGGCTCGGTGGCTCAGCCTGTAATCCCACGCCTTTGGGAGGCTGAGGTGAGCGGATTGCCTGAGCCCGCGGGTTCGAGACCCGCCTGGGCAGGTGAGACCTCATCTCTACAATAAAATCAAAAAATTAGCCGGGCGTGGTAGCGCGCGCCTGTAATTCCGGCTACTAGGAAGGCTGAGGCGGAAGGATCGCCGGAGCCCAGCAGGTCGAGGCTGCGTTGGCCGGGAGCGGCCACTGCACTCCAGTCTGGGTGACAGAGCGAGACCCCAACTCAAAAAAAAAAAAAAAAGATATATTTGAGACCAGCCTAGGCAACACAGTGAGACCCCAACTCAAAAAAAAAAAAGGATATATTTGAGACCAGCCTAGGCAACACAGTGAGACCTCATCTCTACAAAAATATAAAAATTAGCCAGGCGTGGTGGCATGTGCCTATGGTCCCGGCAGGTCGGGAAGCTGAGGTGGAAGGATTGCTAAGCCAGGAGGTGGAGGCTACAGTGAGCTGGGATTGGCCGCTGCACTCCAGCGGCAGCGACGGAGTGAGATGCTGCCTCAAAACAAAAATACAGACACAAATAAAACATTGATAAAACACAATACTACTACAGAAATAAATGTGTACTCGTAGCGATTAGAGTTATGTCCTCAGTTCTACAATCCAAATGAAAGCTGATTGATTAACTCAGTCTTTAGTCATTAAACTGACTGAGGGTGCGAGGGAAGAGCAGGAGAGAGCATGCCAGACACACAGCCTGGAATCACTCGGACCCAGACCAGGGTTCCTCTGGGAGTCTGCCCTTTCTCCCCAAGTTACAACCCCTCAAATGCTTTTAGTCAGTCATGACTGTTTAAAGATACCAAAACAAAATATAAAGCACCTTATTTCGTCACTTCATTTGACTTAAAAATCTGACTTATTTTTGCCTATTCTAACAGAATTTAGTAAGAAAACAATTCAAATTGCTCTTTTAAAAAATAACAATAATTTTTATAGACTTGACTGATATTAACTAGAAATATCAAGCTTCTTTGCCTGTTGGAAAAGTCATTCTTTATGGACAGAGAACCAAAAAATATTATATGCCTTCTTATCCTACTGGAACTAAAGTCTTGGCTCTAAAACCTACCAAAAACAACACAATTAAATACACTAATAAAACAAAGAAAGGCTGAGCACAGTGGCAAGTACCTGTAGTCCCAGCTACTTGGGAGGCTGAGGTGGAAGGATCACTTGAGCCCAGGAGTTCAAGGCTGGCCTGGGCAACATAGCAAGACCTCATCTCAAATAAAATGAACAAACACAACAAAACAAAAAACCAAGAATGAACTCTGGAGAGAGGCAGATACCAGTTTTTATCCTTTGTGAATATTTCCCATTCGAAGGACATACCGGCAGAGGCATACTAACTCTTCATAGTTTTTAATACCAGAAACTTAGGATTGACAGTCGCTGGTTCTTACCAGTTCCTCAAGTTCTCACTTGAAGCCCCTTCGCTGGGCCCTCAAGGGAAAGAGGTTCTGATTCGCTGCGTCCTTGCTTCATTTTCAATCTCACCTGAAATCCAACCTTTCCTCCTGCTGTCACGTGACCAGCCCGCTTAAGCAGATCCAAAATACAAAAGTAAACATGGCAATGACAGAGAGACAAGTATGAGGCCCACACAGTTGAGATTACATCTTACGACTTATCACTGCCACACTTCAAAAGCATCTTTAGTCAAAATGAGATCAGACATCAAGCCTGCCATTCAGCACCAGCAGGTCATCGCAGGCTTTGGTTCAGGCTTCAGGAGAATTCCATCATCCGGGGGTTGACTCAGCATTAAGGGTTTGTGGCTCTTCAGCTTATGAGCCAAGGTCATAAATATAGCTTCTACATGGTCATTATCATTGGGGTTTTTAGCAGAGGTTTCAAACAGAGGCATGCTGTGTGTGTCCGCGAACTTCTGTGCCAAGTCCGTGGGCACCTGAATGGCGCTTCTCAAGTCACATTTGTTTCCAACGAGAATCCGCGGAATGTCGCTGGCCAGCAAGTGCTGCTTGCACTCCTCTATCCAGGATGGCAGGCTGTGGAAACTAGCCATGTTGGTCATGTCGTACACGAAGACAACGGCATGCACGTTTCTGTAGTAATGCTGCACCATGCTCTTCCGGAACCGTTCCTGTCCTGCCGTGTCCCATAGCTGGATCTGAAAAGGCACAAGAAGAGGAACGCTGAGGCCTTCATTCCGATCGTACATACTGAGAAATGCCCTTGCCTGTGCACAGTCCTTGGTGCTTCCTTCCATAGCGCCTTTCAGCGTGACCTGCGGGACCCAGACTTCAGGACACCAGGCTGGTGACCTCATCGTTAAATCATCGCCCAGGGGCAGAATTTAGCCTTTTCTAAACTCCAGGAAACCAAATTTGTCTGGATGGAACTATTCCTCCAATTTTTATTTTAAAATGTTAAGAGAAAAATAGATCAGGTTTTAATAAGCACGGTAAGTATTTAACTTCTGTAAGTGCGGCTACCACATGCTCCTTCCTTTCACTCCTCTAATTTAAGATATGAGACCTAGGAAAGGAGTCGACAGTTATGAGTGCAAGCCTCCAAATGAACATATATAAACATTCCATGAGCCGGGCTTGGTGGCTCAGCCTGTAATCCTGCGCTTTGGGAGGCTGAGGTAGTGCCTGAGCCCGCAAGTTCTAGACGCGCCTGGGCAACTTGGCGAGACCTCATCTCTACAATAATTCAAAAAATTAGCTGGGCACGGTAGCACGTGCCTGTAGTTCCAGCTACTTGGAAGGCTGAGGCGGAAGGATCGCCGGAGCCCAGCAGGTCGAGGCTGTGGTGGCCGGGAGCGGCCACTGCACTCCAGTCTGGGCGACACAGTGAGACTCCAACTCAAAAGAAATAAAAAAATAAACATTCCATGAAACCCAGGCCCCCCTGAATGCTGTAAAAGGCTAGAAAATCACTTACCCATCCCAAACATCTCCACCAACAAAACCACCCTGGTGTTTCCAGTGGAAAGACAAGGATCCGGGGAAATGATGTCTAAAGCTAAATGTGAGTCATGTTACGACCCTCTTCAAATGACGAATCCCACCTTCGTTTACTTAGATGTGTTAAATGATGAATTACTGAGCACAGTGGAAAAAACTAGATGCGCTTAGATGACTTTAAACCAAAAGACTTCAACCACTTACAGATACTCAGCGTATGGCCTGGAAGCCTAAACTGGGGACATCTCACAGAAGGCAATGGAAGCAGAGGGAAACTCAGGGCTACTGCAGACGCCCCCAAAAGCAAACCAGACATAAAGGAAGCAATGCTCAAGTCTGACAGTTGTGTGTACAGTGAGTGCTCAGGTAAGAGGTAACACATGAATGATTTGTAAAACTGGTAAGAGACAAACACTGACCATTACTCTTTCATTCACGCTACCTTAATTTTTGTCAGTTCTAATTTTTTCATCTTTTTTTTTTTTTGTAGCCTTTTTTTTTTTGAGTTGGGGTCTTATTCTGTCACTCAGGTTACAGTGCAGTGGCATGATCATGACCACCACAGCCTTCAACCCTCCTGGGCTCAGGTGATGCTTCTGCCTCAGTCTTCTAAGTAGCTGAAACCAGAGGCATACACCACCATGCCTGGCTAATTGTTTTTTTAAATTTTTTAGAGACAAGGTCTCACTTTGTTGCCCAGGCTTGTCTCGAACTCCTGGGCTCAAGCAATTCTCCCACCTTGACCTCCAAAAGTTCCGGGATTGCAGGAGTGAGCTACCACACACAGCCTTTTTTTTTTTTTTTTTTTAGTTGGAGTCTCACTCGGTTGCCCAGACTGGAGTGCAGTGGCCGCTCCCGGCCACCGCAGCCTCGAAACTGCTGGGCTCCGGCGATCTTTCCGCCTCAGCCTTCCGAGTAGCCGGAATTACAGGCATGTGCCACCACACCCGGCTGATTTTTTGATTTATTGTAGAGATGAGGTCTCACTGCCCAGGCGGGTCTCGAACCCGTGGGCTCAGGCAATCCACTCACCTCAGCCTCCCAAAGGCGCGGGATTACAGGCTGAGCCACCGAGCCCGGCTACACACAGCCTTTTGTAGCTCTTTTTAAGCCAAATTTCTCCATTTTCTTTTTCTTTCTTTCTTTTTTTTTTTTAAAGACAGGGTCTCACTCTGTCACCCATGCTGGAGTGCACTGACATAATCATAGCTCATTACAGCCTCCAACTCCAGGCTCAAGTGATCCTCCTGTCTTAGACTCCAAAGAGCTGGGACCACAAGTGTGTACCACCAAGCCTGGCAGCTATTTTATTTTTTTGTAGAGATAGGGGCCTCAAGATGTTGCCCAGACTGGGCTCAAATTCCTGTCCTCAAGTGGTCCTCCTGCCTCGGCCTCCCAAGTGATGGGATTACAAGCATGAGCCACTGCACTCAGACCAAAACAGTTCCATTTTTTTAAGTCTCCCATTCTCCCTAATTAACATAAACCTAATTTTGTTCCAGACAGAAATATGAGATACTACACAAACTTGATTTCTCAAGCTGTCTTGGTATTTAGTAGTGGCGAACAAGTTATTGGCACGGTTCTGGCCAATAATACAATCTTCTTAGTGGAGGTTTTACCAATTGTCATGATTTTTAAAAGATACAGCATTTTGTATGTGCCTTTTTCCTGTCTCACCCTGTCTCCTTCCGCCTGAGAGGGGACATCACGCCTGGAGGGACAGCAGCCACCTTATAAGCATGGAGGAGACAGCTCCACACAGAAGGCAGCGAGGAAGCCTGGCCTAACCCTCAGGGCCTGCCCGCAGGAGGCATCACACATGCTGCTGCCGTTTGTGAGAAAAGAGAACGTGTTCCGGTGAAGCCACCACCTTGGAGTGTCTCTCACATGCAGCTGAACGCCACCCTCAGGTTAGTTACCATATGGGTTGCTTAATACCTGTACCCCTTCTGCTCACATTTTTTCAGGAAATCACATAAAATCCCCATGTTGTGATGCAAGCCGCATAGCCGGCAGATGGGCCATAGAGACTCAGTGTCATGTAAGAGCGAGAAACAAACAGTTGTCTGCCAAGTCAACAATGACTGACACCTAGGATCGTTTTAAACAGCAAGTACTTATTCAACATCTAACATGTACCACTAGGTTACGGATACGCCTTCAGGTCCTCAACAGTAAAAGCAACATTTAGTTCCAGACCCTATAAATAAGCACTCATCAGCTAGTCACACTAACTATGCCAAGAGCCAATACAGAAAACAATTCTTTAAACATACAACTTTCCTTTAAAAAAAAGTACAACTTATATAAACCCCATCTGACATGTTAAGAATAAAATCACATGAGCCGGGTGCAGTGGCATGAACTTGTAGTCCCAGCTACTGAGAGGGTGAAGTGGGAGGATCACCTGAGCCCACAAGTTCAAGGCCAGAGTGCACTACAATTATGTGAATAGCCACTGTACTCTCTCTGAAAACAAAAAATAAAAATAACACTCGACATACAATTAAAAATGCTTAAAACACTAATAACCCAATTTTAAAACTGGCAAAGGAGCTGAACAGACATATCTCCAAAGAAGATATATAAAGGAACCAAATTACAGGAAGATACCTGATATCATGAGTTAGCAGGGAAGTGCAAACCAAAACCACAAGGAAACACCATGATTAGGCACTACGTCGGTCATCATCAAAAAGACGCACAATAACAAGTGTTGACGAAGTGCGTACAAACTAGAACCTTCTATGTTGCAGGGGAGAATGTAAGATAATACAGCCATTTTGGAAGACAGTCTGGCAGTTCCTCAAAAAGTTTAATAGATGGAATACTATTCAGTCACAAAAAGCAATGATGTACACGATACATGCAGATGAGCTCCCAAAACAAGCTAAGTGAAAGAAGTCAGACATGAAAGGCCCCCAGAGAGTACGATCCCATTTATATGAGATATCTAAAATAAATCCGTAGAAACACAACAGACTGGGGCTGCTGGGGCAGGGCGGGGATGACACGATGACCCATGAGTGGAGGGTTTTAGCTTGGAGTGATGGACACATCTTGTCACTGGATAGAGATGGTGGCCACACAACACTGTCAACGTGCTAAATGCCACTGGACTGCTCACTTTAAGAGAGCTTTACATTATTTGAATTTCACCTCAATAAAATATTAGGGGGAAAAAGGCTAAACAGCAAGTTACCATCTGACCAGCAATTGCACTCCCAGGTATGGACCCAAGAGAACTGAAACACGTCCATGCACATATGTCCACACAGATGTTCCCAGCAGCATTATTCATAATAGCCAGCAGGTGAAAACAGCCCAGACAGATAGTCATCAGCCGATGAAAGGATGAACATGTGGCACACATACACATGCTACAACACGGATGAATCGTCCACACTATGCTAAGCCAGAGGAGTGAGCCATAGAAGGCCACAGACTGAAAGAGCCTGTTTACAGGAAACATCTGTTGCAGGCACATATGTAGAGACAAAGTGGATTCATGGTTGCCAGGGTTGGAAGGAAAGGGAAGTACAGGGAGTGGCTGCTGAGAGACGCGGGGTTTCTTTTTGGAGCAATAAAATGTTCTGGAATTAGAGCGCGAGGATGGTTGCACAGCCTTGTGAACTGTACATTTTAAAAGAGTGAATTTTGAATGTTATGATACGTGAACCATATCTCAATTTTTCAAAATATACAAAGAAAACCTTCAAATTCTGCCTCTAGCGTTTAGAAAGGTATTTTTGGCAATAAATTAAATGACCCATATATACCTGTCCAAAGAAACTAGAGCTGGTTTTTTTCTCTTTTAGTAACATTTCCTGTAGCTCAGGTACTGAAACATCAGTTCATCAATGAAGAATGAATTACAATGTTTTAAGCAAAGTACATTGGCAAGTTAAAAAAGAAGAAAAAACACAAAAAAGAAAATATACCAAAATATTAATAATGGCTGTCTTTAAGGTAATTTCCCTCTTTATTTCTACTTTTCTGTTTTTCATAACCAACATGCGTTTCTTTTATAGAAATTTAAAAAAATAATTACACAGAATTTAGACCTGCCTCAAAGAACTATGGAAGACCTCAACGAACGCAAGTGATATGATAAGGAGTTTTAACCCTAAGAAAATCCTTTGTCTTTATTTTTTTCCCTCTTCTTTTCTTTTTTTTTTTTTTGAGTTGGAGTGCC